ACAATGGAGGACCACAAGCAGCCTCTAGGGGACATAGGTGGGGATAGGAGAGAATGGTTGGGGAGTGGGGTGTCAGCAGAGGGGACACCGATTCTCGGTCTCTTTTCTTCTCCTGCTAGGGAGCTCGAGGACTATATGAGCGACCGGGTCCAGTTTGTGATCACGGCACAGGAGTGGGACCCCAGCTTTGAGGAGGTGAGTTCAGAGGGGCAGGGAAAGGGAGACCCAAACTGCCCTTGAATCTCCTCTATCCCCTCCTCTCTCACATGTGTCCCCTGCCCCCCTGCAGGCCCTGATGGACAATCCCTCCCTGGTGTTTGTCCGCCCGAGATGGATCTACAGTTGTAATGAGAAGCAGAAGTTACTTCCTCACCAGCTCTATGGGGTGGTGCCCCAGGCCTGAAGTATGTGCTTGTGCACACACATGCGTGCACACACACACACACAAGTTTAATAAAGCTGACTTGGTTTGGAGCCACTGCCTCTCTCACTCAGGAGTTTCCCAGAAATTCTAAGAGGCTCCCAGCTGTCTTCTGTTTGGTGTTGCCTCCCCTCTGAGAGGCAGGTCTCTGAGCTGCCTGAGACTCCTGACCTGGGTCCTGGAGAGAATGAGGGCTCTCTGAGGGCTCTGGTAGGGAAGGAGCTGTTTGTCACTTCTCGCTGGCCCCTCAGCCCTGTGGCAATAGGTGCCAAGGAATTGGGAATGACACTAACTGTCACACATGGTTTCACATCACCTCATTTGGGAGGTAGAATGGGGGGAAGGGCATTTTACTCAATCCACCCAAATCCTGAATCCCCTTCAAGGCTCCACTACACATAAGGTAGGAGCCGAGCTGGATGTTTAGAGAATCGGGACAGAAGATGGGGTGTCGTTCTAGGCAGGGCCATGGCATGGACAAAGGCCCGAAAGTGGGAGCTGCTAGCCTGGTGTCTGGGTAGAGTTGAAAGAGCATTGCCACCCTTGGTGAAGAGGCTGTAGGGGCAGATCTGGCTAGAAAGGTGGGTACAGTCCTTGCAGCTGCAGTTTCCACTGTGGTAGCCAATGGACACAGGTGGCTATTTACAATGAAATGAGCCCAGGCCTGTTGCTCAGTGGTTAGGGCATCGACCCTTGGACAGAAGTGTCTCGGGTTCAATTCCCAGTCAAGGGCATGTACCTCGATTGCAGATGCATCCCTGCCCCAGTCCAGGCGCGAGAAGGAGGCAACCGATCGATGTGTCTCTCACATTGATGTTTCTCTGTCTCCCCTTCCTACTCTCTCTAAAAGTCAATAGAAAAAAATATCCTTGGATGAGGATTTAAAAAAAAATTACAGTGAAATGAAAGGGCAAATTCACTTCCTCCTCACACTGGCCCCATTTCAGTGCTCTGGCCACGGCACTGGCAGCACAGACATTTCCATCCCCGTGGGAAGCACAAGCACGCTGACAGCACCAGGCAGAGAGTCTTGGACTTTTCCTGGGGGAATGGGGTCGGGAAGGGGTTTGAGCAGCACAAAGGGCTGGGTCATCTGGGTTTGAGATCTGCCCTTTGGGTAAACTTTTCTTGGACATTCCAAGCCCATTCCCAGCTTTGGCCCCATCAACTAACCAAGGGCCACCAACCTTAATCCTTTCTCTTTGTTGACCTTTGCTTTTTCATCTCTGAGGTGAAGGTGGTATTAGATTCTGCATCCACTCGTTCACTTTTCATTCATTCATACATGTACTGACCACTCACCATGTTACTTCCTATTGTTGCTGTAACAAATTACTACAAAGTTAGTGTCTTAAGACAACAAAAATTTCTATTCTTCTAGGTCTGAAGTCTGAAATGGGTCTCACTGGGCTAAGAAGTCACGGTGTAGGCTGGCCCGCATTCCTTCTGGGGCTCCAGGGGAGACTGCTTTCTGGGCTTTTCCAGCTTGTAGCAGCTGCTCACATTCCATTCCCCTTCCACAGGCAAAGGCAGCAGAGGCCAGGCAGTCTTTCCCATGCACATCGTCTCTGACACCAGATCTTTTGTCTTATTCTCCCACGTTTAGACTCCGATGACTGTGGAGCCCACGTGGATAATCTGGGATAATCTCCTTTTTAAGGTCAGCCAGTTGGCAACCGGAATTCCTTCTGCTGCCTTCAGTCTCCTTTGCCACATTCCATATCCATAGGTTCCAGGGATTAGGATGTGGACATCTTTGGGAGGCCCTTGTTCTGCCTACGGTACCCACTGTGAGTGAGACACGGGCTGCAGTGTGAAAAGACAGACACAAGTCCTCACTCCCGGGCTGACATTCTGCTGGGGGAGAGACAGTGAGTGTGTGTTGCAGTGTTGGGCAGGGGTAAATGCTGTGAGAGCAGAGAGAGCAGGGCAGTGCTGCACACTGAGAGTGACAGGGCCAGGTGGAGGTATTTAGATAGAGTCATAGGAGAAGGCATCTCAGGGGATGTCCCCTTCTGCAGGGACTTGGGAAAAGGGTCCTGGGGAAACTGGTCCAGGCAGAGGAAAAGCAAGTGCAGAGACCCTCCAGCAGGACATGTGCAAGGAGCAGCAAGGCATCAGGGTGCCAGGAGACCTGGGATCCACTCTGAATCAGCACTGCCCCCCACCCTATTGTTTGGTTGCAGACCAGTCATCTTGTAAGATTGGACCAGACTAAATGAGTTTGTGCCCTTGAACCTTTGAGGTGGTGTGGTTGCTACAGAGGAACTCTTCCCGGACAGCTCTCTATGTATACATGGATACAAGTCATGCTGTCAAGTTTGGAGGAGGGACTGGAATCCTTACCTATGCCCAGCCCTGCCCCCACCCCCCCTCCAGATCTTGCTGAGTAGTCTACAGCTCATTTCCATTTACCTGCTTGATTCTACCCCTTATGCTGGAGACTCCACAAACCATCTCTCAGTCCATCCTTCACACCTTTCAGGTCTCAACTCAAAACATTATCTGCTCAAGAAAGCCTTTCCTGCCCTAGCTGGTTTGGCTGAGTGGATGGAGCATTGGCCTGGGGACTGAAGGGTCCTGGGTTTGATTCCAGTCAAGGGCATATGCCCAGGTTGCAGGCTTGGTCCCCAGTAGGGGGTGTGCAGGAGGCAGCTGATCAATGATTTGCTCTCATCATTGATGTTTCTATCTCTCCCTCTCCCTTCCTCTCTGAAATCAATAAAAACGTATTTTAAAAAAAAAGGAAGGCCTTTCCTAACCTCTAGAATAGTATATGTTAGGTATACACTCTTATCATGCTGCATCATATTTCTAACTTGATTTGTTTATGGTCAAACGTACCAGTCTCTTCCTCTATAATTTGTTCTTTTTGTGTCTTAAAAATACTTTCTCTACTTCTGAGGTTACTAAGATATTCTCCTATATTTCCATTTAAATTAGTGTTGTGCTTTAAATTTAGATCTTAACTCCCTAGAAACTAGCTTTTGTGTATGGTGTGAGGTAGGGATCTGTATTAGTTTTCTATTGTTGCTGCAACAAATTACCACAAGCTTAATGACTTTAAACAATACACATTTATTTTCTTACAGTTCTAGAGGTCAGTAGTCCAAATTCAGTCTCTGGGCCAAAATCATGGTGGCAGCAGGCCTGGGTTCCTTCTAGAGGCTCTAAGGGAGAATAATTTTCTTGACTTTTCTAGACTCTAGAAGCTGCCAAGTTCCTTGACTCGTGGCCCTGCATCACTCAATCTCTGCTTCCATTTTCACATCTGCTCTGACTTCTTTTTCCCTCTTCCCCTTATAAGGACCCTTGTGACTACATTGGGCTCACAAATAATCAGGATATTCCCATCTCAAAATCCTTAATCACATCTGCAAAGTCCATTCTGCCATGTGTAAGCTAACATATAGGTGCTAGGGGTTAGGATGGGGACAACTTTGGGAGACCATTATTCTGCCCATCACAGGGTCCCTCCCATTTCATTTTTTCCCACCTCAGCTAACTCACAGATTAGCCTGTCCTCTCCCCACTCATCTACAGCAGGGGTCGGCAAATTGCCGCCCATAGGCAAAATCCAGCCCACTTGCTGTTTTTGAAATAAAGTTTTATTGGAACACAGCCACAAATTCATTACAGTGTCATGAGTGTGGCTGCTTTTACAACAGCAGAGTTGAGTAGTCATGGCAGATGCCGTATGGCCTGCAAAACCTAAAAATATATACCACCTGGCCCTTTACAGGAAGTTTGCCAACCCCTGATCTCCAGGTGGGGTTGTCACATGTCAGAACCAAGGCTCCCCTACTTGTTCTTCAAAATGGACTTAAGCTTACTTTTTTTTTTTTTTTGCCACTACTTGACTAGTGACCCGTCTCCTCACTAAACCAGGCCTGTCTCATTTACTGCTGTATTCCTAATACCCTATTCAGGTCCTAGCACACAGTAGGTGCTTAATGTGTAGGATGAAGAGCAGTCCAATGTTAGCTCACTCATCTGATTTTATAGTGAGAGAAACTGGCTCTAAGAAGGGAACTGACTTGCCCAAGATGATGATGCTTGCACCCTTACAAGGGCCTTATAACACTCCCATTTTATAGATAAGGTATCTGAGTCCAGAGAAGTGCCAAAGGTTGTCCAAGGCCCCTCGGCTCATACGCAGTGGGTCAGGGCTGGCTCCAAAGCTAGGACTTTACCTACTATCAGCAGTATGCCCCTTGTTCTGGCTTTTATCATTTATATCTTGGGAATCTTTCCACATCGGTACACAATGAGCTGATTTCCACCCCCTACAGCCACATCTTCCAGTCTATGGCTGTATTGTAATTAATTAGCTGGTCTCAATTGATGAACACTTGGGTTGTTTTCCATCTTTGGGCACAACCATAATGCTGCAGCGAACATCCTTGTCCTTATGCCTTGTTCACATGCTGGAGTTTATAGGATACATTCTTAGAAGTGGAATAGCTGACACGAGCAGGTGTGCATTTAAGTATTTCATAGGTACAGCCAAATGGCCAAAATGGAAGCACCAATTTAACTTACAACAGGAGAGAGCCTGTTTTCCCACACTCCCCACCAGTAACTTACAACAACAGGAGAGAGCCTGTTTTCCCACACTCCCCACCACCCCACAATGCTAGCAGACTTTGTACCTTCGCAAAATGAATAGTCAGGAAAAACCAGAGCCAGTTCTTTCCCACCACAGCTCCAGGTCCATGGTTTGGGGCCGGTTAACTCTCTGTGGTTGATACATTCCCTCCCCTTCCCCAAAGTGGGTGAGCCAAGAGTTCCTCCACCTTTTAAGTTACAGCCCAGTAAGGAGGAACCAACCTCCCTGCCAGCTACAAGAGGCAAGCCTGGTTTAGAAATGCCACCTCTGTGTTTACTGGAGCTGGCGGCAGAGGGCGCCGGTGAGCCAAGGGGAGGGCTCACTCCCGCTCCCCCTGACTCTCAGCCTGGTGGTGGCTGCGTTGGTGAAGGAGCAGGAGGCGTCTCTGGCCAAAGGCCTGGCCGCAGCTGGAGCAGCGATGTCGTCGGGCGGTGGCCTGGCTGCTCGGCGCGGTGGGGGGTTCATGACATAGGCGATGGGCAGCCAGTTTGGAGGGGAATGAAAAAGCCTTGGGGCAGTGCGGACAAGGATAGGGGCGGGCATCCGTGGCATGGTGCGTGTGTCGGTGGGCAGCCAGTTTGGAGGGGTAGCAGAAGGACTTGGAGCAGTCAGGGCATGGGTAGGGGCGGGCGGGCGCGTGGGTCCAGAGGTGGGCTGCCAGCTTGGAGCGGTGGCCAAAGGCCTTTGGGCAGTGCGGGCACGAGTGCGGGCGGGCGCCGCTGTGCGTGAGGCGGTGGGCTGCCAACTTGGAAGGGTAGGAGAAGGCCTTGGGGCAGTCGGGGCACGGGTGGGGGCGAGCGCCACCGTGTGCCAACCGGTGCGTGGCCAGCTTGGACGGGTACGAGAAGGCCTTGTCACAGTCGGGGCATCGGTGCGGGCGTTGGGGCGGGGGTCGTCGGCGGGGTCGAGATGGCGTCTCTGTGGAGGCAGCAGGCCCCGGAGCCGACTGGTGGGGCTTCTTGGACGAACCCTGGTGGGGAGCTAGGGTACAGGCGGGCTGGTGGGCTCCTGGCTGCAGCCAACTCCCTAAATCTAGTCCAGGCTCCCCGACGCCCACCCCACTTTGATATCTGAATGTATCTGGGCACCTCCAGCCGCTGCCATCCATCGTCCTAAACGGCTCCAAAGCATCACCTACCTGGATCCCCAAAGCGAAGCCTTTCCCAAAACCGCTTCTAGGATTTTCCAAGGTGATCACCCTGAATTTTTGCATGTCACCCTCCCTGCCCCTCCTGTAATTTCCCCGAGTCCTAGAAATGATCACGCAGGTCCCGCAAAGCCAACCCAGGATTCCCCGGAACGTCACATTTTAGGGGATCCCAAACTGTCATCACCCTGGGCTCTCAAACTTTCACCACACACAGGGCCGCTCTCACCTCCGCCTGTGGTCACTGCTTCCTTGCCTGCAGGACTAGGATCTGTGGCCTCAGCCGCCGGCTCTGCATCTCGCTCCAGCATCTTGCTGGCCCAGAAACCTAGAGGAGGGCGTAGGGAGGTGGAGGGGCGTCGCTGGTGGTTATTAGGCTAATGGAGATAGGGCTGGAGGTTCCTAAAATCAGGGGTCAGTCTGTTCAAGGAGCCTGGTCTCATTTAAATCTGGGATCCTAAGCAAGGATGGGAGTTGCTGGAAGGCGGAGCCTAAAAGCACGAGGGGCGGGGCTATGCAAATCGGACGCAGAAGCATTCCCTTTGGCACCAGCGGTTCTCAACCTGTGGGTCGCGACCCCTTTGGGGGTCGAACGACCCTTTCACAGGGGTCACCTAAGACCATCGGAAAACACATATATAATTACATATTGTTTTTGTGATTAATCACTATGCTTTAATTATGTTCGATTTGTAACAATGAAATTGGGGGTCACCACAACATGAGGAACTGTATTAAAGGGTCGCGGCATTAGGAGGGTTGAGAACCACTGCTAGACCCACGGTTGGAGCCTTCCAGCGGAGTAGCTGGGCCTCTGAACAACTTGAACGCAGCGTTCCTGGTGCAGGGAGGGCGGAGCCTCTGTCCAAAATGGGCGGAGCTATACAAATAGTACCCCAAGTCCGCTGCTCTGCAGCTCAGACCCAGGGGCGGGGCCTAAGATTCAGTGGGCGTGTGTCTTTCACAAGTTTCCCAGGAGAGGGGCCTAAGGGCTCCCGGCGGAATTTCACGTCAAAGAGGTATCTTTACCTTTTGGCTTAGTCTCAGTCCATTGACGCCACGAGGGCCGCTAAATTTCTTCCTCGTTGCTAAATTTCATCCCCGGTGTGGAGTTGAAGCCGTAGAGAGCAGAGAGGAGACCTGGAGGGAGACAGAGAAAGAATGTGGCGTGTGTCGGGGATCTCAAGCGTCCCGGGCCTCGGGATCGTGGCATTCGGACACCAGTGCACCCTCCCAAGGCTCAGGCACAGATGCAGCCCCACCGGAACCTATGCATCAGCATCCCAAACGATCCCACCCCGGGAGATTCTAGCGCCCCGCCCCTAACCCATTTCCCCAAGAACCAAGCGTCTGGGCCCGGACCCCAGCACTCTCACCTGCGGACTGCACCTCCCCGGGGGCGGGGCTGCGGGCCCCTCCCGCGGAGGCCGAGGTCGCAGCCCCGCTGCCCTCGGATGGGAAGGAGTTGCACCGCACGCCGTGCACCCAGCGACCGTAGGGCAGGGCAAGGTGCGCTCCAAAGCGGCAGGGTCCAGCCTCATTTCCATCCCCTCCTCCCATGCGGTGCCGGTGGGGGCGTCAGTACGCAAGCGCAGTCACAGCTGGCGGAGGCTGCGGCGTGGGAGACAGAGTCGAAGGAGGGGTGGGTGCGCGAGGCAGTCTCGTTGGTGAGCAAGCGCAGAGCTACGGGCCGAAGGACAGTGGGAAAGGGTACAGAGGTTTGCTGGGCCTACGGTGGCTGATTGGAGTCAAGAATGTGCTAACGGGGAGACGCTGCGCTTAGACCTCCCTGAGACAGCGCCCAGCACAGGCACCTGCGCTTTTCTGCTTCTTTCGGAGCATTTAGGAGCCCGCGTTCCGTCTCCGGGTGCAGTTTCTACAGCTGCCCAAGCCGTCGCTCAAGGCTTTTGCAAAAAGTCTGGCTAATTCCGGGACAGAGGGCGGGGCGGAGCTAACGCCCCATAAAAGGCACTTTAATTTGCATAGCGCCCAGGCACCCTTCGCCATTGGGTGATTCAAGATTCTCCGCCCCTCCCACTCCAATGGCAGGACCCAGGGGAGTGACCGAGGGCCCGGGTCGCGAGGTGCCCAGGCCGGTGTTTCCAGAGGGGTTGGAGCTCCTGCTTTGCATCCTTCCGCGAGCAGTGACGGGCACCTTCCCGCCCCGCACGGGAGTGACCGTGAAGTGCCCGTAGGAATCTCCTGCATGGGTGGTGGTTCTTCAGCCACAAGGTCTGGCGAGCCCTGGGAGCTATGGGAGTTACCCTGAGGGGTTATTTGGGCTCTGGAGCCAGATTGCCTGGAATCTTGGCTCTGCCACTTTCTAGCTGTGTGACCTTGGGCCTCAGTTTCCTCATCTATACAATCCAGGTTGTTAGGATTAAATTCAGTAATCCATGGAAAGTGTTTAGAACAGTGCCCACGGTGCTCAATAAATTAGTCAATTCTATCTCAGGGCCTTTGCACTAGCTGTGCCTCTTTCTCCAAGGCCCTTCGTCCATCAGTTTGTTTGCTGATTCCCCCTTCAGGTCTCAGTTCAAATATTACCACTGCAGAAGGCCTCCCCTGCCCACCCTATCTCATAGGGCTCCCCTTTCTCCATTACTTGTATACACTTAACATTGTATACCTGTCTTCTAGAATGTGAGCTCTGTTAAGATGGACAACTTGGCCCTAACCGCGCGGTCGGCAAACTGCGGCTCGCGAGCCACATGCGGCTCTTTGGCCCCTTGAGTGTGGCTCTTCCTAAGCCTTAGGAGTACCTTAATTAAGTTAATAACAATGTACCTACCTATATAGTTTAAGTTTAAAAAATTTGGCGCTCTAAAGAAATTTCAATCGTTGTACTGTTGATATTTGGCTCTGTCGACTAATGAGTTTGCCGACCACTGCCCTAACCGAATCGATTTGGCTCAGTGGATAGAGCATTGGCCTGCGGACTGAAGGGTCCCGGGTTCGATTCTGGTCAAGGGCATGTACCTTGGTTGCAGGCACATCCCCAGTAGGGGGTGTGCAGGAGGCAGCTGATCGATGCTTCTCTCATTGATGTTTCTAACTCTCTATCCTTCTCCCTTCCTCTCTGTAAAAAATCAATAAAATATATTTAAAAAAATAAAGAAAAATATACTAATTAAAAAATAAAGTTATTAAAAAATAAGATGGACAACTTGTCTATCTTGTTAATTTCTGTCCCCAGCATCCAGAACAGCGCTTAGCACATATTAGGTGTTCAATAAATTTGTGTCAAATGAATGTTTGAAAGAATGAACAGCCAGAAGCCCTCTGTAATAAGGGAGAATGATGGAGAAAATTAAGAACTTGAGGTCAAAGAGTTGGCTAGAGGTCTAAGCTGAATGGGAAACCAAGGGAGGATTTTAAACACAGAAAGTGACATGAGCTGGTTTAGGTTTTCATATACTTTTTTCTTTAACCATATTTTTAGGTTATGGAAAATTTCAAACATACACAAAAAGAGAGGGAGTAGAAGAGTAATTAACCCCAAATACCCCTCACCCAGGTTCAGCATGGCCAAATTTGTTTCATCATCCTCTCAACACCCCTCCTTGAGCCTACTAAAATATTTTGAAGCAAATTCCAGATAGTTCACCCAGAACACTTCAGTCTGTATCTCTAAAAATATAAGAACTCTCTCTTTTAAACATAACCACAATATTGCTATCACACCCTTCAAATTTTAGAGTTGTTTCTATGTTATCACATAGCCCACAGTGTTCAAATTCCCCCAATGGCCCCATGTGGGTTTGAACTAAACGGCTCAATTGAAAAAAATTTCACGTAGCCCCAGCCGGTGTGGCTCAGTGGTTGAGCGTCAACCTATGAACCAGGAGGTCATGGTTCTATTCCCGATCAGGGCACCTGCTTAGGTTGGGGGCTCGATCCCCAGTGTGGGGTGTGCAGGAGGCAGCTGATCAATGATTCTCATCATTGATATTTCCATCTTTCTTTCCCTCACCCGACCTCTAAGTCAATTTTTAAAAAATCAATAAAAATTATATATTTTAAAATCCACGTATAAGTGGGGCCCGCAATTCAAATCCTCATTGTTCAAGAGTCACCTGAGTATCTTTTTTTTCTTTTCCAAGCACACTGTTATACTTTATTTCAAACATTCAGAGAATTCAAGAGAAGAATAGAACTGTTCTCTGCATTAATAACAGAATTGGCCAGCATCAACAATTATCCAGTCATGGCCAGTGCTGTGTTATTTCCCCCACCCACTCCTCCCAGATGATTTTGAAGCTATATGCCAGGCATCATAACCCATAAATATCTTTTTATTACACTTGCTTTGTTTGAATCAGGATCTAAACAAGATCCGCACGTTGCGTTTGTGTGATGTGACTCCAGTTTCTTTTTCATCGCCGTTTTTAAAGGCGCACTCTGGTTGCTGCATGGAAAATAGATTGTAGGGAGGCGGAGTGGGAGCCAGAATCCAGTGAAGAGGCTGTGAGATATTAGTTACAATGTAAATTATCAGCATTTAGTTAGCACTTTTTATATACCAGAAACTGTTCCCAGTGATTTATATACGTTCATTCATTTTTTATTTATTTTATTTTTTTAAAAATATATTTTATTGGTTTTCTACAGAGATGAAGGGAGCGGGATAGAGAGCCAGAAACATCGATGAGAGAAACATCGATCAGCTGCCTCCTGCACACTCCCCACTGGGGATGTGCCTGCAACCAAGGTACATGCCCTCGACCGGAATTGAAACTGGGACCTTTGAGTTCGCAGGCTGATGCTCTATCCACTGAGCCAAACCGGTTAGGGCATGCATTCATTCATTTAATCCAGGGGTGGGGAGCCTTTTGTTTCTGCCAAGGGCCATTTGGATATTTCTAAAATCATTCTCGGGCCATACAAAATCATCAACTTAAAACTTAGCCTGCTATATTTGGTCAAATATTTAATTAACGCACCCTTAATACCTTCGCAGGGCCAGACCAAATGATTTCACAGCCTTATATGGCCTGAGGGCCGGATGTTCCCCACCCCTGAAACCCACAGCAACTTTTTAAAAGGAGGCGCTACTATTACTCTCATTATACAGAAGAGGGAAATGAGGCAGAGGGGAGAGGACACTTATCCAAGGTCACACAATTTGATCCCCTGCAGCCTGGCCCCGGAATCCAGGTAATTTGCATTTATGCTGCCTTTTGACTGGGGCAGAGGGGGTGATGCTGGAAAAGTGGCCTGAGTGGGGAGGGCTTAGTGATGAATTGGGAGGAGGTGGCAAGACAAGGAAGGAGTGCACGATCTTTGGACTGGGCGTAGGACAACATTGTGTCTCCAAAAACTGTTCACAAACATAACAAGAAAGCAGTTATTATGATGACTGGACTGAAAATTAAAAACATTGTTTAGAATTAACATCACTATGTTATCGGCACCAGGAGAAATGCCTTCCTTCTATTGATGAAATTGTTCCCCTTCCCTTTCTCATAAATACTCATTGCCTTTGTCTCTTAATCTGAACATTATTTGGCCTTCTGCCTGAATTAATAATTCTTGAATAGCTATTCTTATGGATAAACACTTGTTTGCCTCTTAAAAAGAAAGAACATCTCACAGAGCTGACCCTAGGTAAACGCCAAAGGGTGTGCACGCCTTCAAGGAACAGGTTACTGGTCTAGCAATTCTGCAAAAACATCAGGAATGGGTGCCCCAGGGGTGAAGAGGTCTTATGTGGGGACCCCTCACAGTAAAGATTGCCTGAGGGTCCCCATTTTGCTGGTCCTTCCCTCCCCTGAGCTCCTGGAAGTCCCTGGGCCTCGCCTTGTTTTAGCCCTGATGTCTGTACCTCTCTCCCCAACCAGACTAAGGACTCACCTCTAAGCCCCCAGCTTCACCCAGCCTGAGTCAGGCATGCAGAAGCCCTCAATGTGAAGAATAAATGAGCAGCCCTAACCGGTTTGGCTCAGTGGATAGAGCAACAGACCGCAGACTAAAGGGTCACAAGTTCAATTCTGGTCAAGGGCATGTACCTTGGTTGCAGGCACATCCCCAGTAGGGGGTGTGCAAGGAGGCAGCTGATCAATGTTTCTTTCTCATGGATGTGTCTAACTATCCCTCTCCCTTCCTCTCTGTAAAATAAATAAAATATATTTTTAAAAAATAAATTAATTAAAAAATATTTTAAAAAAGAATAAATGAGCAAAGTTCTCTCCTGGACTCTGAGCTTTTCTTTCTGCCTGATTCTCTTCTATCTGGGTGTCTCCCAGATCTGAGAGATTCTCTCCCTCTTTCTGAACATTTCTCCCTGCTCTAATGTTCTAATGTCTCTTCCCATCTGTCACTATATTTTAGAAGATTCTGTATCTTTGTGTATCTCTAAGTGTATCTTTGTGACGATATTTCTTTGACGGACATCCCATTTCAACTATATCTCTCCATGCGTCTCTGAAAGTCTCTCCAGGTCTCTCTCTCTCTCTGAGTGTCTCTGAGTGTCTCTCTGAAGCCTCTGAGCACCCCCTTGTCTTTGAGAGTCTCTCTGAGTCTCTCCCCTATAAAGAGCACCAGGAATACACTAGGAGTTGGCAAAGTTTGGTTTGATTGACTTGCTGGAGCTAAGGAGAGAGGCCTGCGGAGTGAGCACTGGCTGTCTCCCCAAACCCAGGGAGAGAGTCATAGGATTTTTTAAAAAGATGGCATTTACACTCAATTAGATTAAATGAAGTTTGCTCTGGCCGGGTAGGTCAGTGGGTGATAGCCTGGTCCTGATACGCCAAGGTTTCAGGTTTGATCCCCAGTCAGGGCACATACAAGAAGCCATCAATAGGCCTGGCCAGTTTGGCTCAGTGGATAGAGCATCAGACCGGGGACTGAAGTTTCCCAGGTTCAATTCCCGTCAAGGGCACATGCCTGGGTTGCAGGCTCAATCCCCAGCCTGGTTAGGGCGTGTGCGGGAGACAACCAATTGATGTGTCTCTCTCACATGGATGTTTCTCTCTCTGTCTCCCCTTTCTACTCTCTCTAAAAATCAATGAAAAAATATATCCTCAGGCGAGGATTAACAAAGCAAAAAGAATCAATCAATGAATACATACATAAGTGGAACAATGGATTAATGTTTCTCTCTCTCTGTCTCTCTCTTGCTCCTTCCTCTCTCCCTGAAATCAATAAATAGAAAAAAAATGAAACAAAGTTTGATAGGCTTACGGATTTCTTCCTGAGAAGAAAGAAACATTCCTGAAAAAATACTTAGCAATTTTTAAATAAGCGTTAGGCCCTGATTGGGTAGCTCAGTAGCCAAGGGTTGCAGGTTCAGTTCCTGTCAGGGCATCAATTCCTTATGGAAAGGAGTGAATGTGGGGCCTAATCTGAGAATCCCATCCACAGCCCGTGCCTTGGAAAATGCAATTAAAATAAATGTGGGATGTACAATTGATTCTCCAACAACACAGGGGTAGGGGCACTCAACTCCTATGCAGTAAAAAACCCTCGTATAACTTTGACACCCCAAAAACTTAACTGCTATTAGCAGGATGCCTTGCTGATAACATAAACATTCAGTTAAAACATATTTGTATGTTACATATGTTATATGCTGGATTCTTACAATAAAGCAAGTTAGAGAAAATAAAATGTTATGAAGAAAGTCATAAGGAAAATACATAATTTTATGCATTCACGACATCCCTAACTTTTTCTTAATTTTTTTCATATTTCTAGGCTATGCAGTTTGTGAGTTTTTAAAAAATATATATTTTATTGATTTTTTACAGAGAGGAAGGGAGAGGGATAGAGAGCTAGAAACATCCATGAGAGAGAAACATCAATCAGCTGCCTCCTGCACACCCCCCACTGGGGACGTGCCTGCAACCAAGGCACATGCCCTTGACCGGAATCGAACCTGGGACTCTTCAGTCTGCAGGCCGACGCTCTAGCCACTGAGCCAAACCGGTCAGGGCCAGTTTGTGAATTTTTAAAAATTATCACAATCTCCAGAAAAATTTCTAATATACTTACTGAGAAAAATTCACGTCTAAGTGGACCCCCGCAATCCAAACCTCTGTTGTTCAAGGCTCAACTGTAGTTGCCAGGAACCCTCCCCCTGGCTGGAAGTCAGGCCGGCTTCTCTGTGCCCAAGCGACAGACCCTCGGGCAAGAGTGGGGCGACCCATTCTCACTGCTGGTGGGATTCCAAAGAGCAATCTTTCTGACCCGCCCGGCTGCACAACACAGCTTCTCAGATCCAGGTCCTTGGGGTAAATGAACAAAAGCCCTTTTCAGAGGTTCACATCCCAACAAAAGCCAAATGACCTCATTATATCTTGATTTTGCAAGATATAATGCAAAATTATTTTTTATAAATGATTTCTTCCTGGGAAGAAATAAACATTCCTGAAAAAATATTTAGCAATTTTTATTTTATTTTATTTTTGTTAGCAATTTTTAAATAAACTTTAGGCCCTGGCCTGGTAGCTCAGAAATAAGTCCAACAGTGCCCTCACCGGTTTGGCTCAGTGGGTAGAGCGTCGGCCTGCGGACTGAAAAGTCCCAGGTTCGATTCCGGTCAAGGACCTTGGTTGCGGGCACATCCCCAGTGGGAGGTGTGCAGGAGGCAGCTGATGGATGTTTCTCTTGCATCGATGCTTCTAACTCTCTATCCCTCTCCCTTCCTCTCTGTAAAATATCAATAAAATATATTTTAAAAAATAAGTCTAACAGCAAATCTCTCTCTCCCCTCTATCCCTTTCCCTTCCTCTCTCTCTCAAATCAATAATTAAAAACATTAAAAAAAAGTTAATGGGATCAAGTGTCTGGGAGTCACGCACCCACCTCAAGTGACCTGGAGCCAGACTTTCCCCCTAACAGTGAGCCAGCCTCCTCCTAACCTCTTTCCTGTAAGATGGACCCGGGGCTGTGAGCGCACGGGGCCTCCGGTTGGCTTCTGCTTCCCCGTCTGCGCTCATCTCAGCGTCTCTCCCTCGCCCTGGAGTGTCCCCGGTTTCTCCCGTTTTCTCGGTCAGCGGGGTCTCTGAGGTCTCCTCGCCGCCCCAGCCCAACTCT